GTGTGTTACCATCATCAATGCAAACAATATCTCTGAAGTCGCCGGGCTCCGAAGCTTGCCACACCGGGCTCGCAGGCGACATGGGAACACATGGAGGGGCAGACACCGGGCTTGATTTGCTAAGATCTTCCGGCCACAGATGCACGCACATCTGTACCTGGATGAGGTCGATTTCGTAGATTACACCTTTGACTGAAAATTTTTGCCAGAATATACTTTGGTATTCTTACCATCGTATTTCGACGTTCATTGTCATCTCTCCTTGGACATGAACGTTTTCGCACTGGCATAGAGCAAACTAAACCTCCTTGCTGGGCACCCGGCTTTGAGATGTCGTCTTGACTGTCTTGGAGAAGCCGGGAATCAGCTGTAGGCACATTTCCCTCGTAGAAACAAAGAAACCCCCGGGCCAAATTCGTTAAGCGTAGTAGTCGATCTGCCATGAGACGCAAGTGGTCACCATCGAGGGTTGCATCACTCCCATGCCCATGCCCATGACTTTGCCGCACCAGCTTCCGCTGTGTTGTATTGCCACAGTGCATTAGGGCGTAGCGATCTGGGATATAAGCAATTGGGTTTTTGGGTTACCCGCATATGGAACTTGCAGGTTTGACCCGTTCCGTACCCCCCTCCAAGAAGAGGGTGGCTCACTTCCGCCCTGGGGTTCGGGGGGTGAAGCTGTTTGGAGGTTGCGAGCTTGGGGGCTGGCAGGACTGAATTGTCATGATGCAGACCTCGCCGATCCGCTGGCCCGGCCTCTGATACATGGCTCCAGGACTCGTCACATCTCTGTTTTGCAAGTGGTCATGCTACAACATGCCCAATATGCCGATTTCCGAGGTTACGACCAAAATACCATCGGCTGGGTGCAGAGAGCCAACACACTCCGCGTCCAAACCCCCAGCTGCCCATGATGTAGATGCATGTATGCGTGCGTATGTACATCGGTAAATGCGGTGGTGGTACAGCACGTAGGCAGATGCCGGGGGTGGAGTGCGGGGTGGATTGTGGCTCTAGCCGAGCATCTTCGAAGGATTCCGTGACGAACCGTTAGCCGCCCAACTCACAAGCCGCAACAACCCCCCACTGGCGAAGTAGTGCAGCTGCTCCGTGGATCATCGAATACCAACTGGCTTGCGGCTTTGCATGGTCAAGGTTGGGACTTTCTCTGGCGCACATTGCACAACCTATCAGCGCGCGAAGATGGCCGACGCGAGGTTTGTTTCCCAGCTCTCATGTGTGCCCACGTGTTCAGCGGAGGATGTGTGTCTAATGGTGTACACAGCACGGTTAATATCGTTTTTGTTGGCGCAGGCGCCATAGGCTGCTTCTACGCCTCGAGGTTGCACCATGTATGTCAGCCCTCATTGTGACAAGTTCCAAACTACCCCGTCATCTGAGCATACGGCTGACGTAGTGCCGTGCAACAACAGCCGTCTCGGGGCCTGCACGTGTCTCTTATTGCCAGGTCCAACTACAAAGCCATTGAGAAGTCTGGAGTGCAACTGATCACCCGGAGCTTTGGGGACTATACGTTCAATCCCTCCGGCGTGTTTCCGTCGGTGAGCGCGGCCGCACAAGCTGATGGCGACGGAGCTCCGGCGAGGCAATGGGACTATATCTTCGTGACCACCAAGGCGCTGCCTGATGTCAGCGATGACTCTGAGATGATCGCGCCGCTGGTTGGGCCCAAGTCATGTATCGTGCTGATCCAGAACGGAGTCGGTGTCGAGGAGCCTTTCCGGAAGAGGTTCCCAACCACGCCCATCGTGAGCGCCGTGACCATTGTGAGTGCGGAGCAAACATCGCCCGGCACAATTCGACAGAACCGCTGGACGAGGACGAGCCTCGGGCCTTTCACGGACGGCCTCGGTACTGGGGACCGGGACTTGATCCAGCGAGGAACGCACTGCATGGATCAACTCACGGAGTGGTGGCGGGACCTCGGCGGCATCAAGGACGTCGAGCCCCATGACGAGGTCGGGCTCCAGACTGTGCGGTGGCACAAGCTCTGTATCAACGCCGCCATGAACCCGTCCGCCGTGTTATCCGGCGGCCGTGGCAACGCGGACATGGTCATGGACCCCGAGCTGCGGCATCATCTCACGGGCGTCATGGAGGAGATCTGGGAGGCCGTGCCCAGGATCCTCGGCCGAGGGTTCCCGGACAGCATGGCCCGGCCGGACCGCATCATCAAGAGCACGGAGCGCAACAAGGGGGCGCGTCCCAGCATGCTGCTCGACTGGGAGGACAAGAAGCCCCTGGAGCTCGAGGTCATTCTCGGCAACCCGGTGAGGATTGCCAGGGAGCGGGGCGTGGAGATGCCGAGGCTGCAGACTCTGTATGCTCTTCTCAGGTCGGCGCAGGAGATGCGCAAGAAGGAATCTAAGAGCAAGCTTTGAGTGCTGGTGAGGAGGGTGAGTCCACCAGCGTACTGGGAGAGCTGTAATTGACATGTACGAGTTGCGGACATAGAATTGAAGGAAGCATGAGTCGTTTAGCAAGCTTGAATATGAAACTAGATATGTTATTTACGTATACTATTGTCAGCAACATAATTTTGTCTTTCTCTTAGGCTTGAGTGATGGGATAGTTGGAGGTCTGTCGTTTCAAAGATCCCCCGTTCAACTCTGCTTGCATTGTTTTATATCTGTCATTCAGGTTGACGCTCTCAAAGCCATTCTCAATTTGCTATTGGTAAGCTTCAAATTTAGTTTCTTCTTTCTAATTGAAACTTATGACTGAGCTGGGGACAGACAGTAGCTGGCTCCTCACTCTCAATCACGAGATGACACTCAGATTACAGTGTCTTCAACAGGTAAAATGATGACTTTCCGGGCATTCACCTTGCGATCTTCGATATCTCGGGAACATCTGTTGTTGACATGTCACCAGAAATTAATACCAATACATGCTGCCTGTGTGCGTATGAAGCACCCGTTGAAGAAGTTTCGAGGCTACTGTCCCAATGGAAGTGGTACCAGATATTACCTTACGGGTTTCGGGCGCGTTCAAAATGTGTCTAGACGCAGCAGACTTGAGCTGCTTTCGGTCCAGTGCCAATGATATTTGGCAAGCATCAAGTCAGAACCCCAGTCTGGCTAATTCACAAGGCATCTTGTGATTCATCACAAGATGCAGGGAAGGGCCCTGTTCCTTCACCAAGAGGAGATGCATAGATGGCCTCCATAGGTGCTTTGGTCAGTTGCAGCCCTCTGGTTAATCCAGTCCAACCAATGAACCCGGTGGTATATAGTCCTAGGTAGAGAGCGTAAGCTCCAGGACATAACCCAAGAAGCTGGCATGTGACAGATACCAATAATAGGCGTCAACCTATATGAATGGCTGCGTGGTGATGTCCCAAGGATCAATTAGATAGGCTTCCGTGAAGAAGAAAAGGCTGGCTTTCTGAAAGGATAGGATAGAGGATCGCGGCTGAACAGAGTACTCGATTCGTTTTCTTGCCAGGAGCCTAGATTATATCCTCTTGTCCATTCATCAAGCTACTGGCGGCAGGTTAATGTGGGGTGCCAAGTTCTCATCGGGATTCCAGTTGCTCGGGGCAAAAGCTCCGGCGACTCAGCCCAGGTCCTGCCTCCAGGCTCTGCAGCCATGTCGTGAACCACAACTCCTGGTGTCTCGACAGCCTCTAAATCCAAAGGTGAATAGTTACTTGTGCAGTGTGCATCGGTCGTTTTGAGCTTTCTGAGCTGTCCACGGTGCATTGTCAATTGATCAGGCACCGCAGAATCCAAGCCAATGGTTTGGAAGTCTCGTTCCAAGGTTTCTATGGTTGCATTAGATAGCGGGCAGATGGTACTATAGTCCCTTGTCTGCCTTAGCCCTGTAACCCAAAGGCGAGGAGTGCTTAGCGTATGCTGCCCATATCTGGATCTCGCTCGCACACTCGCAATTTCCCCGGGACTTGAAAGGGACTTGAAGGCAGTGATGAAGTGGAGGACACATATCTGGTTTAGATGTAATGTACACACGCGTTCAAAAAGTACACACAGCTGAGCATGTGTCGGGTGTATCAAGAAAAGACAAAATTCGACGATCTTACAGTGCTGCGTACAGTGTGGAACAACGGACACCCTTGGCGATTGTCATGATCGTCGCTGGCCGGTGAGTTTGATTCTTGGTTGGATCTGACGAGAGGGGCGGCATTGAGCAATTAGTCCCAAAGGGGGGTTTAGCCCTTGTCTGGCAGAGGGGCAGGCGGAGGGGAAGGGTCGTCCGTGCTGCTATTTATTCTGAGTCTCATAAGAGACCGCGAAGGCCAAAGCTCATGTGGTGTCTGGGCTTGGACCTGGAGCAATCGAATCTCGGGCGGGCAAAAAAGGCTGGCACTCGCATCTAGGCTCCACTGCCGGCGGTCGCTGGTGCTGCAGCCTGCCGTGCCAGCAGCATGGGCGACCAAGGCAACTTCCTGCCCTGGGTTGAGCTAGCGGCATGATAGGCCCAAATTCATGGATCTCCCCTTCCGCCTAGCCAAGAGCGACCCAACTGATTCGACAGAAAGTCGTGACGTGACCTACCAGGGTCTAGTGGAGGAGGGGCGCTCTAAGGATCTCCCGCACTGTGAGCCAGTCCCTTCTCATCGAGCTGGGCAATGCATTTCACCATGGCATTCTGATTTCTCCTTCCACAGTACCTGCTTCTGCTTCGAGGGAGCTTGGTCCAGACCTCAAATCCTGCGACGACGCTCCTTCCAGCCCTCACCTCGCTCAGCCTGTGAAGCCCCACCAAATCGACCTGATCTCCCACTCTCACACCCGACCAGCTCTCACCCTGTCGATCAACGGCCACAGCCATTGCCTCCTCGTTCCCTGCTCAAGCGACTCGAGGTCTTCGACATGTGCTAGGTCAGAAGACACTCATCACCTCTCCCACCCCCCTAAAGGCGCCTTGTTCCTCGTGAAGCTGTGGGAAGTACTTGGCGAGACAAGCTGTTTCTCAGTGCACGAGAAGCTATCAGGCTTCTACGTCTCGAGTCTGTAATGGATGCACCCAAAGATGACCCGCCGCCGTCCACTTCACCTCCGACTGTTGAGCCTCAAACAAGCTCACCCCCAACTGACAATCCGCCAACGAACCAAACGAACGACAATGTACCGGGATTGATACAACCCCAAGGGCTTCCACTGGGATTTACGCATATACCTCCTCCTCGGACCTCTTCGATACAGAGCCAGCAGACGCCAACCCCAGGCCGCCATCGAAATAGTATAACGACGCCCGAGCCGGTTTCCTCATGGAGCGCTGGGTCAGAAATGCAACTTGGCCATGCTTCTGTTACTTCAGACCCCTCTGGCGATAGGGTCTTTCCCATCAGATCCGTCGTTAGCGTGGATCCAGGAAGCAGAGCGTCTGGTGAAGATTATTTCCCTGGCGCCACGGACCCTGATAGTCGTGGGTTTCCTGTTCATAGACCGATACCTTTCCGCACCGAGCCTGGCTTCGAGGTGAGGAGAGCCGACACAGGCCCAATTTCCCCAGCCTCCGCTTCCTCGAGAGAGAGACTTCTACAAATGCGCCGAAAGAGTACCTTGAGTGGACCAATTTCTAGTATCCAGGCGGATGCCGCTCGCCATGGCACTATTGCTCCGCTGGAGCTTAACATTTCAACCTCTGATAAAATGAGCGAAGAATCAGGGCCATTAGGGGACATGGATCCGGCGGTGGCACCTCTTGGAATAGAGGGAGTTGAGGTGGCAGATGGGACCAGTGGTTCTGCAGACTTTCGCCGCTCGTCAGTTGCAGATATTGGCCACATTACGACACGACTTACGTACATGCAGACTGAAGACGGCCATCCAGTCATCACTGGACGCGATGGAACACTTCAGAGGTGCGAAGACGAACCGATCCACACTCCAGGCGCTGTTCAAGGCTTTGGGCTTCTTCTAGCTTTGAGGGAGGAAAGTGACGGCTGCTTCGTCATCCGCTACGTTAGCGAGAATTCCGAGCGAATAATAGGCCATTCTCCAAAACAGTTATTCCGTTTGAAAAATTTTCTAGACATTTTAAGCGAGGAGCAACAGGACAACCTACTCGACCACATCGACTTCATACGAGACGAGGATGCTGACCCTGCTGTGAACGGTCCTGAAGTATTCAGCTTGTCTGTAAGGCCACCAAAAGGACGAAGCATTAAACTTTGGTGTGCAATACACATCAATCCAGCTCATCCCGAGCTGGTCATATGCGAGTTTGAACTGGATGATGATACCATCTACCCACTTCGTCCGTCTGATGAATTGACTCCGGATACCCCGCATGACACCTTGCAGTCGAATCCTACTCTAGAAGAGATTGAAGAAAGCACAGAAATCCTTAGTAAGCCTCTTCGGATTTTACGGAGCGCTCGCAAGCGACGAGGCGAACAAGGAGCAATGCAGGTCTTTGACATAATGTCTCAGGTCCAAGAGCAGCTATCTTCGGCGCCCAACCTTGAAACCTTTTTGAAGATACTTATCGGTATTGTAAAGGAGTTGACTGGTTTCCACCGTGTCATGATATACCAGTTCGATTCCTCGTTCAACGGCAAGGTGGTATCAGAGCTAGTTAATCCTGCTCAGACTCGTGATTTATATTATGGGCTCAATTTCCCTGCATCTGATATCCCACGACAAGCAAGGGATCTCTACAAGTTGAACAAGGTCCGACTTCTCTACGACCGTGACCTCGAAACTTCCAGAATCGTTTGCCGCACCAAAGAGGACCTTGATACCCCTCTAGACATGAGCCATGCTTATTTACGCGCCATGTCTCCTATCCATCTCAAGTACTTAGCTAACATGGCCGTGCGATCTTCCATGTCCATTTCAATAAATGCCTTCAACGAACTTTGGGGTCTGATAGCCTGCCATTCATATGGCGATCAAGGCATGAGAGTGTCCTTTCCAATCCGCAAAATGTGCCGGTTGGTTGGTGATACGGCTTCTAGGAACATCGAGCGCTTATCGTATGCATCGAGGTTACAAGCACGCAAGCTTATCAACACAGCACCTACGGACAAGAATCCGTCAGGCTACATTATCGCCTCGTCAGATGACTTACTGAAGTTATTTGACGCTGATTTCGGCCTTCTCTCAATCAAGGGTGAGACTAAGATTTTAGGAGCCATAGAACAAAGCCAGGAAGCGTTGGCCATGCTAGAGTATCTGAGGATGCGTACTCTCACGTCAGTTGTTGCATCTCAGGATATACGAGAGGATTTCCCTGATCTCCGATATCCACCCGGCTTTCAAGTCATTGCAGGGCTTCTCTATGTGCCCCTAAGTGTCGGCGGAAACGATTTCATTGTTTTTTTCCGCAGAGGACAGGTGAAAGAAGTAAGATGGGCGGGCAATCCTTACGAGAAAATTATTCGAGACGGAACAGCAGGTTATCTTGAACCTCGAACGAGTTTTAAAACTTGGCATGAGAAAGTCATTGGGAAATGTCGGGAATGGGACGAGGAGAAAATCGAGACGGCGGCTGTTCTCTGCCTGGTTTACGGCAAATTCATCGAAGTGTGGAGGCAAAAGGAAGCCGCTCTACAAAGCAGTAAGCTTACAAGACTACTTCTTGCAAATTCAGCCCACGAAGTTCGAACGCCTCTTAATGCTATCATCAACTACCTTGAAATAGCATTGGAGGGCACGCTAGACCAGGAAACAAGAGACAACTTGGCAAGGTCACATTCAGCATCAAAGTCGTTGATATACGTGATCAACGATCTTCTCGATCTCACCAAGACAGAAGAAGGGCAAAATCTGGTCAAGAATGAAGTCTTCGATCTCTCTTTGTGCATCAAAGAAGCAACAGAACCTTTTCAAAATGACACTCGTAGAAAAGGTCTGTTCTACGAGGTTGTCGAACACCCTGGCTTACCTCAATTTGTTCACGGCGATGGTCGCCGAGTGCGCCAGGCAATATCAAATGTGGCCGCAAACGCTGTGACACATACCCAAGAAGGATTCGTGAAGATTGAGGTGTTTGTTTCAGAAGTACGAGATTGCCAGGCAGTTGTGGACTTCGTTGTGGCAGACTCGGGTCGAGGTATGGATACACAGCAACTGGATGCACTATTTCGCGATTTGGAGCAAGTAAGCACCGAAGAGCCTGAAATTTCTACCCCCCAGGATCTCAATCAGACCTCCAAGGCACGAACCCTCGGGCTTGGACTGGCAGTCGTGGCACGAACTGTTCGCAATATGGACGGGCAGCTTCGACTAAAATCAGAGGAAGGACAAGGTTCACGGTTTGTAGTTCAGCTACCATTCCATCTCCCACAGGAGAAAACCGAAGTGGTCAATGATGGGAACGACGAACTTTCGACAAACACCAAGAATTCCAACACAGCTCCTTCAGCTGCCCCGGCGTCTCTTTCTGCAGCTCCAGAAGGAGAGATCATGCTCGTCAATCGAGGAAGTCATGCCGATCTTTACGCAGAGTCCAAGGCAACTGTGGAACTGGGTAGCCTGAAAAACCGCCGTAGCATGGAAAGCCATGAGAGTGTGGGGAGCCAGAAGAGCGATGCAGACCGTCTAATCGATGCCCTTCAGACCCCGCTATCTCTCCATGACAAGGAGCCTGCATATCCACTTTCAGGGCAAAGTTCAGCAGTGGGCTCTCTCAAGTCTGCGTCAAAATCATCACAGGTATTTGTCCCAAGCTCCGGGAGTCCGCAGTCCAATAAGAAGCATCAAGTCCCCCTAGAAGTTCAGCCGCAACCAGAAGTTGGGTTTGCCAAAGTACGAGACACAAAAACGCCAATCCGAGCTATCAAGGTTCCCGATGAATACTTGGATATGCCTCCCCAGCCTCAATTTGGACAGCAATCCGGCGTGCTGTTCGAAATTCCAAATAACTCATCCTCAAAAACCAACACAGAGAGCGTGACGAGCGGCGGGACTAGTGACGGGCAGCTCTTGCGCGTCTTGATTGCAGAAGATGACCCCATCAACATGAAAATAATGAAGAAGAGGTTAGAACGAGCAGGCCATGAGGTTTCACATGCTGTGAATGGACAGGATTGTGCAACCATGTTCAAAGAGCGTTCATCAGCTTTCGACGTAGTCTTGATGGACATGCAGGTAATACAAACCAGAGGTTCCGTCCAAGAAGCATAAAGCTGACTTTAATTTTGTGATAGATGCCGATCGTCGATGGTCTGAAGAGCACTATGCTGATACGTGAATCAGAGCACTCATCCGGCCATCTAGGACACTCTACGCTTGCTGCTAATTACGGTCGCATTCCTATTTTTGCAGTTTCGGCGTCATTGGTTGAGTCTGAAAAGCAGCAATATGTTGATGCAGGCTTTGATGGGTGGATTTTGAAGCCGATTGACTTCAAAAGGCTCAATACGTTATTAGTGGGCATACACGATGAAGGAATCCGTGTCTCATGCCTATATGAGCCAGGTGCGTGGGAAAAAGGAGGGTGGCTTCAGACTCAGCCCGATCAAACAGAGAGCCAGGAGGAGACCACACCGACAGCAGAGGGGAATGAGAACGAGCTACAGCTCTCGGTTGAAGCTCTGATCGAGGCATCATCCACAAATCCCGATGATGCCTAAGATTGAGCATTCGGTATGTCGAAGGCAAGGCCGTCGTATGAGACTTCAGGACAATTGCTTGAAGACGTCAGTTTGCCAGGGCCTAACTCTCTCATTTTGCTGAGTGGATCGGCCTTGCATTTACCATGCCAGGATGTTGAACAAAAGAAAAAACAGTATTTGGAACAGTAGCTGAAAGACGAGGCAGCTCGAGGAGGGCTATGATTTTTGGGGTGACATCACCTACCAATGATCGACTACATGCATATGTTTTTGTTTTCATGATCGCTACGGTTACGGATGGGAAAATACACGATAAGGGGGGGACACACGGAGAGCGTTCTGGCGTTTTGCATACAGAAAATGAGGGGCATGGCACACATTTCCACGTTTGTTTTATGGTAACTTTCTTCCTGAGCTACGACTTTTTTCTTATCCTCTTCTCCTTTGTCTCTTTTCTTCTCAATAGAAGGTGGGGACCGTGTACACGCATTACGTACGCACAACAGTCATGTGGTTTATGGTGTTAGTGAGGGATTTTGTTTTTTTCTCTTTTCTTCTCTCCCTTCTATTTCCTTGTAGAATATTTTTTGGGGAGCAATGCATAATAATATGGCTATGGGTATGGTTACGGTTGGGCTTTGTCCCTTGCATGGAATTCCTTCTCGCTCATACTGAGATGAGCCAGAAGGCGCATTCCCGTTGTTCCATTACTGTCCCTAGATTTGGGGTTGGGCGGCGACTAGAGTTAAATACGATAATACTCAGCATATTTATGGCATCCGAGTCTCACCAAACATTGATGTAAAAGACAGTCATACTCGACTCCAGCTTTTATGAGAGATGAGTTTGTATCATAGTGTATGGTAGAAGGAAACGTTGCAATGGGAAAAGTGTTACTCGTTTTAATTCATGGTTACTATGACTGGTTGTGCTTTACAATGAGATCGATGGTCCGGGATTAATTGTATTTCTAACATTTGGGTCACTCTTCGCGGGTGTATTCTACGGCTACTTCACATATAATTAACTATGTGGGATACCATGAAACAACAGAGCATCAAAATAACTATCCGATCATTGTGTACTGTCGGGGTATCCAGGGTATCCTATTTTACTAGCAACGTACTATCAAAGGACGTATACATATGTGTTGATATACAGACATGATCTATTCTCTAGCTATGAAGAAATATACAAAATCGGACACGGATATCTAAGAAAATCTAGGACTTTATAAATAGCATTCTCTTCCAGAAGGGCACCTTTTCTTGCTCCTCGTAGCCCTCCTCCTTGACGTTGTGCTGGCCGACGACGGTCAAGAAGACCTGGTCTAGGGTAGTGGGGCTGACGCTATAGTGGCTGATGTTGAGGGCTGATCGGTTCTCCTCGAACAGGATCATGAGGTTGCCGATTGCGCTCTGACTGAGGTCCTGCTCCCTGGTGGGGGTGATCTCGGCCGTGGTCTTGCCCCGGGTGCTGGCCAAGAAGTCGCTTGCGCGGATCGAGAAGCGCAGCTGGCCGTGGTAGGTCTTGTCCTCGACGTCGGCTGACGGGAGGGTCTTCTGGATCCAGGTGAGGATCTTGGCCATCTCCTCCTCGGTTGTTCGCGGGGCTGTGGCGGACACGAGGTGGACGTGGAGGGCGTCGCCGAAGCGGTGGCGTAGATCGTCTGGTGTGCCCAGCGCCAGCATTCGGCGGGCCATGATGCCAGCCCTGCCCGCGAGTGCATCGGCCTCCTCCATGCTGTGGGTGGTGAGCAGGATGGAGCGCCCGGGCACTGTGGCGGCGAGGGTCTTCCACATGACTCGCTTCGAGGCCGCGTCGAGCCCCGATGAGGGTTCATCAAGCAGGACAACGCCAGGGTTGCCCATGAGAGCAATGCCCAGGCTGAGCTTTCGTTTGTTGCCGCCGGACAGAGCATTGGCCATTCGGTTCGAGTATGCGCTGAGACCGACAGCCTGGATGATGGCTGTAACATTGTGATTGACGTCTGGAATGCCGCGGACCTTGGCATAAAATTCAAGGTGTTCCTGGACAGTCATTTGATCCAAGGCGTCGAATTGGGGGCAGACACCCAGGTTGGCTCTCGCCGCGGCCAATTCTCGAGTGACTGACTTATTCTCGACAAATACATCACCTCCATGGTGGCTTGGCTTGATATCGCCACGAATCATGCTGATGGTAGTAGATTTACCCGCGCCGTTGGGGCCGAGCAGGGCGAAAACTTCGCCGCGCTTGACACCGAACGTGACATTGTCGACTGCAGTGTTCTTCTTGAAAGACTTGGTGAGATTCAGAACACGAAGCCCGTCCTCGTTGGTACCCGAGCTCGTGACCCGGGTAAGCTCGCCGGCAATCTCTTCATCTGATATCTCATGTTCGGTAGGGGCATCCTTCTTCTTTTGGAAGATACTGAATAGGGAGGATCCTGACGATCCGCCATCGTACCAAAGAAGGAAGCCGAAAAGAAGCAAGCATTGCACCACAAGGTATAGAATAGGCCCTCCAAACTGGAGGATGCCGCCCGGATTCGTGGACAAGTCGTCCCCATTGCACGCTGTGGAGAAGAGGTTGACAGTTAGGAAGAGAGCCCTTGTAGCTGAACCTATTGGGCCGACTGCCGAGATGACGAAGTGCACGATGCGCAAAGTTCTGTCGATCTTGGATGCAGGGACGTATGTGATGACACACATGTAGGCAATCAGGTAGGCCAAGAACAGGACAGCTTGGATTGCGGCCGCCCAGGCATATGTGGCCAGCTGCGTTTTTGTGAAAAGGGAGACAACGTAAGCCATCAAAATCGAGGCAAGGCCGTAGAGGAACAGAACGACGAAGACGTATTCGATGTGGAACCATACGGAAGACAGACCGCTCCAAATTCCAGTAACAACAGCGGCACTGACAAGCGCGATGATGAAGTCGAACAGGATATATGCAACCCAGAGTGGGAGCGGGCGGACACCATTCGAGTACTCTAGACTTCTTACAAACCTTCGACGCTCGTTGCTGGGATAGAGGGCGAAGAACGCAGGATAGCAGGATAAAGCAAGTCCCATGTAGATGACCAAATTCAACGAATCGCCAGTCTGAGGGTCGAAAGGAACCTGGAAAGGAGACCAGGTGGTCTGAATCGTGGTATTGGTGAGAAGAGTATCCAAAAATTGTTGAGCAGTGACGGGGCTGGTCACGAAAAGATTGGCCACCCAAGCAATCGTAGGTGGATTAGAGTCGTCCCCGAGCCAAAACGCAGTGGTGAGATTCTTCCTTTTGTCATTGACGGTATTTTGGAACTCGTCGAAAGTATCAACCAATTGCAGGTTACTGAGAGCGGCTTGACCCCTGGAGGCTCCCTTGCCCCCACCGCTGAAAATGGGCCGCAGGAGCTCAAGCATCGTTGCTTGGGACAAGCTGGCGCGAGGTCCCGCGAGAAATGAGATATTGCTGCTGCTACCAACCTGGGAAAACGCGTCTTGTGTCGTAGAGGTTGATACTTGGGAGGATGGTGAGCAGCCAGGGGTGGTCTGGCGTTTGACGAAGAGCGACGTGAGGCCAGCCGCTAGAATGGGTAGCCAAAAAGCAATAAAATATGGGAGATAGTTTCTCTTGAGAATGGTCAGGCGCTTCATGAAAAGAATCTGAACCTGTTTCACATAGCCAACTTTCTGGCCATCCAGTAGCTTTAGGCCGCTCTTCTTCGGGCCCTCATCTCCAGAATGCTTTTCATGCAACTCTGTGGTCTTTTCCGAGTTGCGGAAAGCCTCCTCGTCTTTGATCTCTTCAGCCACTTGCAGGAACACGTCTTCGATTGTGGGACCAGAGAAGCGATAGCCAGGGATACCGTCTTCCTCAAGCGTCTTGATGACCTTTGCGGAGAGGCTGGAGGAGGGTGACTTGTAGGTGATGAGGTCAAGCGTTTCCTTCTTGGTGACGCCTTCGATTTCTGGCGTATCCTTCATACCAGGAGATTTCGGGATATGAACCTTGTAACCCCCACCGAGTTTGTCCTTGAGTTCAACTGAAGAGCCCTCAGCACGAAGAGTTCCCTTGGACAGAATGACGATGTGATCAGCAAGCAGGTCGGCTTCATCCAGAAAGTGGGTGGTGAGAATGAGAGTTCGCTTTCCGCGTTCTGCAAGGAGAATGTCCCATAGCTTCCGGCGTGACAAGGGGTCAATACCGCTGCTGACTTCATCGACACAGCACACGGCACTGCCACCAGTCAGCATCATACCCAACTGCAATTTACGCTTCTGCCCTCCTGAAAGTGTCTTTGATAGGGCTTTACGCTTCTTAGTCAGGTCAATTGCGTCGATGAGCTCAGTTATTTCCTGGGGCGTGGCCAGAGCATTAGGCGACTTCAGGCGGTTGAAAATTCTGAGATGTTCTTCAACTGACAGATCATCCCAAAGCACATTCTTCTGGGGCGCGATACCAAGCCCACCTGTGCCATCAATGGCAATGGAACCGCTGGTTAATTTACTAAGGCCAGCAATGCTATTGAGGGTGGTGCTCTTTCCTGAGCCGTTAGCACCAAGCAGGGCGACGATCTGACCCTTCCGAGCATTGAAACTGAGATCGTCTACAGCAACAACGGGCTTGGCAGGTTTGGATTTCTTGGCAAATATTCGTGAGAAGATGTTCGGGTTATAGATTTTGGTGAATCCGCTCAACTCAACGGCATTTTCACCCAACCCTGCTCCCTCAGCCCCTGAGACTTGGATCTTTCTGCCCTTGGTAGATGTTCCGTAGAGACTGTTCTCAATGATAGCGCCGATCAAAGGGTAGGCGAAAATCTGAACGATGACAAAAACCCAGAGGACAATACCAGGAAGGTTCCAGGGGCTGTTTGGAGGAGTTACGGTCAGGTTGGTGGCCAATTGTTCCTTCTCAAAGCGAGCCATCAAAGTAATGAAGTAAACATAGCTGCAAGGAGTAAATAGCACCGAGAGAACGGCCACTACTCCTGTGCGAGGCGCCGTGATGGATTGAGCCAGAATACCAAGAAGAAGCGTGGCCAG